TTTTTTTTTTTTTTTTTATAAAGATGGGGTTTCACCATGATGGCCAGGCTGTTCTTGAACTCCTGACCACAGGTGATCCACCCACCTCGGCCTCCCAAAGTGCTAGGATTACAGGCGTGAGCCACCGCGCCCGGCCTATATTGTTTATTTAATAACTTCAAGTGAATAAATACACATCTTTATCAACATTCCTAATGACTATAACATTCCATTTTGTGGGGATACTAAAAGCTATGAGTTCATCAGTCTTTGGCTCCTTATGCATGCAAGACGTTTCCCATTTTTAACATCATAACATTGAGAAAAGCATCTTTGTACAAGTATCTTAACACACTTCCCCCACCTTCATTTTCATGTCTGCTTAAAGTAAAATATACATACTTTAAAAATACACATACAGGGCCAGGAGCAGTGGCTCACGCCTGTAATCCCAGCACTTCGGGAGGCAGAGGCGGGCAGATCACGAGGTCAAAAGATTGAGACCAGCCTGGCCAGTATGATGAAACCCCGTCTCTACTAAAAATACAAAAATTAGCTGGGCGTGGTGGTGGGCACCTATAATCCCAACAACTTGGGAGGCTGAGGCAGGAGAATTGCTTGAACCTAGGAGGCGGAGGTTGCCGTGAGCCAAGATCACACCACTGCACTCACGCCTGGCAGCAGAGCGAGACTCCGTCTCAAAAAATTTAAAAATTTTTAATTTTTACAAAGACACACATAGTGCAGCCTAACAAACATTCACAAATGGACAGAATCAAAATGGAGACACACACACAGAAAATACTTGTGTGAGAACATCTGCCCAGCAACTGCCTGTCCAGCCTGAGACTGGTGTCAGTCTCGTTATGGATCCTTCTAGCCAAGGATAAAGATCTCAGAACAATTATATAATCCTACCCACTTTTGTTTTAAAAACCCTGTCTTGGTCGGGCGCGGTGGCTCACACCTGTAATCCTAGCACGTTGGGAGGCCAAGGCGGGGAGATCACGAGATCAAGAGATGGAGACCATCCTGGCCAACATGGTGAAACCCCGTCTCTAAAACATAAAGATAAAAATAAATTTTAAAAAGTAAAAAATAATAATGAAAAAAAAACCCTGTCTTCCTTTACCTCCCTGAATACGCAGCATATAGTTTACTATGTTCCGTGTATTCCAATTGCAATGGCTATTCTCAAATAAACATGGTTTTCTCTTAGGAAAAAGAAGGTGGGCATGGTGGTTCCTGCTTATAATCCTAACATTTTGGGAGGCTAAGGTGGGAGGATCGCTTGAGACCAGCCTGGGCAACATAGTGGGTCCACCCCATCTCTACAAAAAAATGTAAAATTAGCCTAGCTAATTTTAGCCTAACACTTTGGGAGACCAAGGCAGGTGGATCACCTGAGGTCAGGAGTTCGAGACTGGCCTGGCCAAAATGGCAAAACCCCATTTCTTCTAAAAATACCAAAATTAGCCAGGTGTAGTGGCAGGCGCCTGTAATTCCAGCTACTCGGGAGGCTGAGGTAGGATAATTACTTGAACCCAGGAGGCAGAGGTTGCAGTGAGCCGAGATCACATCACTGCACTCTAGCCTGAGGGACAGAGCAAGACTCCATTTAAAAATAATTAATTAAATAAATAAAATTAGCCTGGCAAGGTGGCATACTCCTGTAGTCTCAGCTACTCAGGAGGCTGAGGCAAGAGGATCACTCCAAGCTGCATCACTGCACTTCAGCCTGGATGACAGAGTAAGACTTTGTCTGAAAACGAAACAAAACAAAAAAACAGAAGAAACAGATGCAGTATACCTAT